GGGAGGTGAATATCATTTACTGGCTGTGAAGACAATACCAACATGGGACTATGGACATTACCTAAAGGCTATTGTAGAAAAAGACTAACTGGAAAGAAAGTAATTTTTTACAATAATGTTTAGATCATGCACTTATTTCTTTAATTCATGGTGGAAAAAACTTCTACATCACTTGTAGGGGACCTGGACATCGAGGAAGTAATTATTTTGCTACTCAAATTTTTATTTTAAGTTGCCTTTTTCCATAGACTAAACCCAGATTTGTCATATACTGTAAGGTGATAAATGTAGAAGAAGAATAGTTTAGAACTGGCATACTGAGAGCTAATTCACATTAAAAAAAAAAAAATAAATAAATTTTTTATGACTGTCATGGGAAAAACTGGCTAGTAATGAGATATAGCAACTGAAAAACAAAATATATTCAATAGAGAAATGAAAGAAAAAAAAACCAGAAACATTAAATAAGAGCTATGATAAATCTGATTAGAGTCTTCATGAAGGTTCACTGGTAAGTAGCTAGGCATTGTGATTGTAAGAAGCATGATCAATTACTGTAAAAAGACCAAAACTGCAAATAAACACACAAATGCAAATTCACCTACTTTAATAATTCAAAGCATGATCAAAGACCCTTGCAAACCAACCAAAAGAACATACTTCTTTTTTTTATAATGAATGCTCTTAAACTACTGAGTCATGTAGGTCGACTGATTTTTTAGATACTTCCCACTGAACCACTGAGCTGATAGATGTTAATTGAGGAAATAAAAGTGCTTTTAGCTGCCAGTCCCATATTGCTGTTTTAGACACCCTCAGGCATAGAAAAAGGAAATAAAACACTTAGGCTTTGGCTCTGAGTTGGGCCCATAGATTCACAGTAAATGCAGAGAAAACATTATCTTATAAGCTGTATAAAACTAACACTCTTAGCTTAAACTGAAGATTCATCTAGTTCAGTATCCAGAGATGCATATAGTGTACACAGTGTGGGTATACCATGGCACAGTGAAAGGAAACACTGATATTTCCTTTCTCTCTCTTCCTTTCTTCGTATCTTCCATTGCTTGGTTTCCTTTTTCACTAGCACTGAGCATGGAGATGACATATTCAGTGTCCTAACCAGCACCATTGCAAAATCTCTATTCTGAGTAGCAATGCCTAACCTAAGACCCCACAACACCATATATAAAGCTAGGGCTTCTTTCATCCTATTATTTCCTTTGTATTTGTTGGCAGTGATTTTCTTTTGCCATTTTATCAGAGTACCATGAGATCCTTACCTATAAACAAGATAGAACCACCAGAAAAATGTGTCACCTTGCAGTTCACTAAAGCCCCACCTAATCTCTTTCTGTGAATAATGCATGCATGAATTTATTGCTTATAAAGGGTTTTCTCTCCATACTCATTTAGGGGGGTTTGAGATCCTTCGTTGAGGACTCTTATCTTTTTTGTGAACTATGTGACATATATCAGTCAAACCATGACAATCTTCACACATACTAACTCTTTAGAAGAATCATTTTGTAAAGTATTCTGGCTACAGCTGTAAAAAAAAAACAAACAATAAAAAATGCTTCTATAATTTAACAATAAAAGGAGGGCTACGGAAAAACAGTGACAAAGGATGAGGAAAAGGATGAGGTACTTAATGCTTTCTTTGTCTCAGTCTTTAACATTAAAAACACTGGTACTCGAGGTACCCAGACCCCTGAGCTGGAAGATGGTGATGGGAAGCAGGATGGAGCCCCCATAATCCAAGGGAAATGGTCAGCGACCTGCTACACCACTTAGACACACACAAGCCTGTAGGGCCCAATTGGGTCCACCCAAGGGTCTAAGGGAGCTGGCAGAACTGTTCACCAGCCACTTTCCATCATTTATCAGAAGTCCTGGCTAACCAAGGAGGTACCAGTTGACTGGAGGTTATCAAATGTGATGCCCATCTACAACAACGGCCAGAAGGATCCGGGGAGCTACAGAGCTTAGTGCTGGAGAAGGTTGTGGAGCAGATCACCTTGAGTGCCATCACATGGGACGTACAGGACAAGAAGGTGATCAGGCCCAGTGAGCACGGGTTTGTGAAAGGCAAGTCCTGCTTGATTTACCTGATCTCCTCCTATGAGAAGGTGACCCACTTAGTGGATGAGGGAAAAGCTGTGTAAGTTGTCTACCTAGACTTCAGTAAAGCCTTTGACACCATTTCCCACAGCATTCTCTTGGAGAAACTGGCTGCTCATGGCTTGGAGAGATGTACTGTTCACTGGGTAAACAACTGGCTGGATGGCCAGGCACAAAGCATGGTGGTAAATGGAGTTAAATCCAATTGGTGGCTGGTCACAAAGGGTGTTCCCCTGTGCTCAGTGTTGGAGCCAGCTTTCTTTAATATCTTTATCAATGATATGGACGAGGGGGTTGAGTGCACCCTCAGTCAGTTTGCAGACAGCACCAAGTTGGGTGGGAATGTTGATCTGCTTGAGGGTAGGAAGGCTTTGCAGAAGGATCAGGACAGGCTGGATCGATGGGCCAAGGCCAACTGTATGGGGTCTAACAAGGCAATGTGCCATGTTCTGCACCTGGGTCACAACAACACCATGCAATGCTACAGACTTCAGGAAGAGTGGCTGGAAAGCTGCTTGGGGGAAAAGAACTTGGGGCTGTTGGTCAAGAACTGGATTAAGATGAGCCAGGAGTGTGCCCAGGTGGCCAAGAAAGCCAATAGCATCCTGGCTGTATCAGATACAGTGTGGCCAGCAGGAGTAAGGAAGTGATCATCTATCCCCCTGTACAATTCTTACAAGGAGTGGCTGAAGGAACCTGGTTGTTTAGCCTGGAGCAAAGGAGGCTGAAGGGGGACCTTATCACTGTCTACAACTACCTGAAATGAGAAGAGTGGCTGGAAAGCTGCTCAGCCAAAAAGGACAGGGGTGTGTTGGTCAAGAGCTGGATGAAGATGAGCCAGCTTGCTCCCAGGTGACCAAGAAAGCCAACAGCATCCAGGCCTGTGCCAGAAATAGTGCGCCCAGCAGGACCAGGAAAATGATTGTCCCCCTGTACTTGGCATTGGTGAGGCTGCACCTCAAATACTGTGTTCAGTTCTGGGCCACTCACTACAAGAGAGAAATATTGAGGTGCTGGAGAGTATCCAAAGAAAGTCAGCAAAGCTGGTGAAAGGTCTGGAGCAGAGTGGCTGAAGGAACTTGGGTTGTTTAGTCTGGAGAAGAGAAGGCTCAGGGGGGACCTTATCACTCTCTATAAGTACCTGAGAAGAGTTTGTAGCAAGGTGGGTGTTGGTTTCTTCTCCCAACTAACTAACAGGACAAGAGGAAAGGGCCTCAAGTAACACTAGGGGAGGTTTAGATTGGATTAGCGGAAAAAATTCTTCACCAAAAGGTTTATAGAGCATTGGAACAGGCTTCCCAGGGAAGTGGCTGAGTCACCATCCTGGAGGTATTTAAAAGACCTGTAGATGTGGCACTTAGAGATATGGTTTAGTGGTGGGACTTTATGATCTTTAGCGTCTTTTCCAACCTCAACGATTCTATTATTCTATGTTGGTCTTTTGGTCTTTTTCATTCTTATCCATACAACTACAAATTCTCCAGTTTCCAAAACACCAAAGCTGGGCTGACTGTTCTGCAATTCACTGCGTGCTTGTCTGCATCTTTTTTAGAATCTTACGTTACATTTGTCGCTTCTTCTTTCTCTGGTACAGAGACCTGTCTAACTGATGCATCACAGTTGAAAACTTAGTATTTTTCTTCTTGAGACAGTAAGAGCTCTCGCATACATTCAAACAGTCCTGGCAATTTGTTTTATTGTTTGTGTTGTTTTGTTGTTTGTTTTTTTTTAAAAAAGCCTTCTATAGTTACCTTTGAAGTAGATGCTCAGGCTCAACCACTGCAGAAGAATTAAACATGGACTGAGCTTTCCTGTTTTGCTAGTTTCCCCCCGAGCACTTCTTTTACATTTTGAACATCTACGGTTCTCTCAGGCTATTTGGCAAATACCTTTCTGAGGGATCTGAAGAAGAATATATTATTATGTGCTATTACGCTGTAAGGTTCTTTTTTTTCTCAGTTGTCCTTTTCCTTTCTTATTACAGTTTTAGATTTAATATTGTGGGGTTGCTCTGCATAAATATGCCGATTTCTTTTTTCCTTTTTAACTTAGTTCTTTTGGATTCACATCCAAATGCATCACTATGCATTTTTACAGGAAAGCTAACTGCAAGACCTAGTTATTTCAGAAAACTGTTTGTGACCTAGCAAGATCTGCAGTGCCTCTAGATCAATATAAATTAGGAAGATTTGTAAGAACTGGTAAAAAAGTACCCTCTGTCAAGGTTTGCTATGGATCCAATGATGTAATCAAGGCCAAATGAAACCAAATTGACCGTATCTGGTTTTCATTTTGGAAAATACTAAATTTATTCCTATTGCTGAACATGAATACTGCACAGATGAGTCTTCAGCAATTTTCATTTGGAAGTGGGTTCCTCTACAAAAATTTGACAGCCTCTAAGCACTTTTCTGGTTTTCTTCTCATAATCTATTTTAAAAGTATGATCTAGATGGTCCGTATTTTGTTTCTGGAATGACAGCAGCCACACATGCTAGGACTGGTAACATAGCTATTAGAGGGAGTGAAGAGAGAGCTTTTTAAAAGAGAGGCAGGACACACACATGAAGCTACACACTTAATACAGTAGGAGTAGCACATTGTCTGCAGCCTTTGAAATAAACTCTTCTGCATTAAAGAAATGCCTAACTTTCCCAGGAAGTTCTCCTCCTAACAGAAATAACCTACTATATGCTTAACAGGGATTTACTCAGGCCAAAGGCAGAGGGCTTTCTGAAGCTTACAGGCATTACTGTGCTGATGTAATGTATGTGAGAAGTATATTAATAATTGTTTGTTTACAGCTGTGAAAAAAACATTCTTGAATGATACTTAAGTCTTAACTCTGAATTACAGAAATAAATAGCAATATTAGAAACTTTTTAATGTCATGTTTATTCATTGTAGTTCTTCTACCATAGTGCATTTGTCTGCATGTTTCGAGGCTATACAAAGACTGGTGTTAATTTTTAATACGTATGAACAGACTAACCCACTTTAGTCAATAATTTACCCCTCCTGCAACCAGAGATCAGATATATACCATGAACACGAGCAAAGAAATAAAATAATGATAGAAGTTGTGAAAACAGAAGAAAAAAAAAGGAAAGTAAACAAGAAAAAAATAAATAAGCATGTGCATTATGGATGTGACTTAGTATTTTGTACCTTAATAGTAAAAACAGATCTTTATAATATTGTGGCTATACTAACCATGAAGCGGTTGAGAAACAAGAGTACCAATGCTGTATTACTGGACAGTCTGGGAACAGAAGGGGTTACATCAAGAGACACAGGTGTCACTGATGCAGTATAGGTGTTACTGGTAGGGTGCTTGATCCTACAGTCAATACTGGAATGATGCTTACTACCATGGGTAATCTCCCAGGGCCAGATGATGATGGTACAGGCACTGGCACCAGGGGGGGAAATGGTTTATGTTTCTTGCTGCTCAGGGACTTCTAGGAGCTGGTTTAGGTGCAGGCATAGGCTAGAAGTAGTCTTCTGGCTGCTCTGTGCTGTCTGTGTGATTCACAAAGGTTGGCGCCAGGGCACTTCACTGAACTGCAGAGATATCATCTACCTCTTAACTTCTTAGACCCAATTTTTTGACATGGAACATTTGCCCTGAAATGAGTCTGGCCTATAAACCCCGACAGAAACAGTGGGCAGGCCAGTATACATCTGCAGGGGAAAAACACACCTTCTTTGTGACCCCTTTGCAGCAGCCTAACTGGACGACAGCTGAAAGGCAAGTATGTTATAGACTCACTGGACAACTATGGTACTATGCAAGGTAGTAAGCATAATGCATGTTAAGATCTATGACAGATATAAACTTCATGTTGGTAGGAAAATGGGTACAAGTAGTAGAGTGCCGTAACTTGTACTCATTTGTCAGTCAACTCAAAAAAAAAAAGGTGAGAAGGCAGCCATGAGGGAAGAAGCAGGCTTACACAGCCCTCTCCACCCACATGCTCCTCATCTTCCCTGCTAGAAGATGTATATGTGCTGTCAGTATCACACAGGCCTATTTTGTCCCAGATCTAATGACAGTTCTGCCTGAATGTAACCTTCTTAAAAAAAAAAAAAGAATTAAAAAAAAAACAAGGCCCAAACAAATATGCAACTATGACAACTTAAACTGATGAAGAGTCTCATCTACAAAAAAACAGTGAATAACATCAGTTAAGAGATGGAGAGCCCTCGGTAGCCATGCCATACTCATCAGGTCAAACACTTGATTTAACAGTGGTGATCACTGCATACTTAATATGTACATAAACTTAATCTTTTTTCAGAGGGTTCACAATTTTTCCCATGAATAGTATATTGCTTTCCAAAGTTATGACCATTAGGAAGGGCCTGTTGAACATAATGGTAGCCGGAACAGACATAGGCACTATTTCCATGCCTGTGGCTGCTGCCGCTTCAGTGCCAGTCTCATCCACCTTTACCACAGCCTTATGAATAGCCTGTGAAGAAACAGACATGTTACAAGTCAAGGCAGTACAAGACTAGGCAGCTAAATAACACTTGTGCTAAAAGTACCTGAAGAAGTTACTGGTAAGAAGCAAGCACCAGATGTGAGTCCACTGCACAAAGACAGAAAAATTTGAAAAAAAATCAGCAAGCTGCCTGCAGCATAGCTTTCATAGCACCAAAGAGGAGAAGTTCAACCCTGGTGGAGGGGCAAGCCCCTGCTAGTGAAAACTTCTGCTTTGTTTTTCTTCTTCCCTGCTCCCACTCATGCAGATATGTATAGACTGAAGGTTAAGAGAGCACAACCATATTTGACTATTAGAAGTTCATATAGTTGAAGAATTAACATGCAGATTAGCACAATGAATAGTATCCTGAAATTATGTTTCCCATGTTCCTTAATGTCTTGGAAGACACGAAAGCAAAGGAGAAGCATGAGAAATGGAGGGCTAGAGCAGAGAAACATATGTTTTACCTGGCAAAATAAAGACATTCACAGGCCCTAATTCATTAACTTCCACCTGAGGTCATAAGGCTAGTTGTTTTGTTCATATTAGGTAATGAAATTTGCACTGACTGTCAGCTTTAAACTCTAGGTTTATCGAAGTGTGACTTATCTGTAGCTTTTGCCTGGGCCGGGCATTAATGAGAGTTTGCTCATGGGCTTGAAGCCAAATGTTTTTAATAACTGCATTTTCTTTTCCCCCAAAGAGTTTAAAAGCAAGCATTGTTTTTCCTCTCCCCTCCATAAAATACAAGTAGTGATACATCCTACAGCTCCCTACTTGCCCCCAGGCAGGCTAAAGAAGGTAGACACAAACAGAAGCAGCAATATAATGACTGTAACAACGCGCTGCAGGAGGGTACCAAGGTGTGGACATGCGATGATTTGGTCATGTCTGTTTTATAAGGTTGCCCCATGCAGATCAAAAAGGCCTCCTGGATTATAAAATTACAGACTTGAAACCTGCTTCAGCTCAATTGCACTGGCAGAGCAAGCAACATGGGCAAAATACTCCGTATGCCAACAGCTGCCTTTTCATATGACGCAAAGCCTCTTTACATGAGTTTAGCATCATGAATAGTTGCAAAGGAAATGATGCAAGTATCAGTAAACATGGGTTCATAAAACAAAAAGCAGTATGACTTACCTGGGAAATTCTGTGCTGGGGCTGCCCAGTGATCCCAGACAGGTCAGCCTTATCAGTGAATACATCCATGATACCCATTTTATATAAGATATCTTTCAGGTTATATGTCCCATAAAGAGTGAATTTTGGAAGATACACATTTGCTGAGCTGCCAGAAAAGAAGCAGAAGAATATGGTGAAACTTTTGATCAGGTTTCATGGTATGACACAGACTCCCGAGATACAAACTCGTTTTGCTTTCTCCCCAAAAATATTTTGCTTGTAGGTTCTCTCTAGCCTGCATGGGAGATGCGTAGTGACATTAATTTGGGGAGAAGAAAAGGTTTACATGTTGGCAAGCTGGCTGAGAGGATAGGTCGTAGGTTGCTGGCTGTCAGTCTGCAGTAAGACAACACATGAAGAATGAGATTGACCTAGTGATCATTCAGCTCAACAGAATAGCTATACCTCCCTAAGGGTCTTCATCTGACATTTTCAGAAGTTAGAGATATTTTGTGCATTCTGCAGGAAGCTCCTTCATCATGCCCCATTACTGAGGATGCAGAGGAATCTTCTTGTGAAAAAGTGTTTCTTTCAGGTGTCTCACGCTGGGCACAAAAAATCCAACACATCCAAGTTCACTGGCTACTTTTGAAAGAAAAAAAAAAGAAAAGAAAAAGGTAGGCCTTGTGTGTTTATCATGTAAATCTGGACAGAGATATATGGGTGATGAAGTAGAAAACAGAAACACATTGACAGAATACAGCATATAGTTAGTCAATAGATAATATCTTTTCTATGCCAAGACCGATGTCTGATTTACTAATTATTTTTGGGGGTGGGAGAAAGGGACTAGTTTGCTGCTTTCCATAAAATTAATCAAAATTCTGTATTTCTGACACATTCCTCCCTAGCTTTTTCAGTAAGGATCTAACAATTCCTTTTCAAAGGTTAAAATCAACATTTACAACTAGATGCAGTATGAGATGAAAGTTAGTGATAATGCTGACAGAAAGTATTGTTTTCTGGTAAGAAAACAGGAGAACTTAATGAAGGAGTCCAAAGAGCAAGTCATCTAGTGGACAAGTGGGAAGGCAAGGCCACATACCTTCAGTGTAGCACAGCATCAAATGCCAAGCCTGGCTGGTACGAAAAAATGAAAGTGCTAGTAGATTGATAACAGGTGGGTGATCTAGTACTTCTGTCTAATTTCTGACTGTGCTGATTGCTGTTTCAAGGAGGATGCATTGAATCATCTGCCTTGCTATTAAATAAAGACACTCATTCACAAGCCCCCACTTGCTTTCAACATTCAGGAAAGGGAAAGCCATAGGCACACAATAACAATGCAAACGCGATAGTGCAGCAAGCACTGGGATACACTTTTCAGAAGAGAAAGTGATGCTTTCTCCAGAGTTCAGCCATTAAATAGATCTCAGCTGCCTGTACTGGCAACACTTGGACACTATTCCATGTTCAGCAACCAACAGTTGTAAAAACGTTCCTCTCAATGCCTCTGCAACTGTGTCAATTTCAGTTTGCAGACAGAGAAACAGGGACAACACAGATTGCCCAGTCCTTAAATAATTCCATATCCTACATCAAACCCATCCATTAAGACCTCCCAGAGACTCCAAATAATAGCAAAGGCATCAGTTGTCCTGAAAACTTAAAGAAGTTTGCATTATTAGTTTGCAAGAGAAAACAGCCGTGATGAAAAACAGGGAACTGCATGTCTTCGACAGTGATGCCTGTATATAAGATTTACATCTCACATTCATGGCTTTTAGGTAGATTATTCCAGTCTGGGGAGGGGGGGAGAGTATGGAGAGAGGAAATATAAATCCTTCCAATCACCATCTTATTTCTCCTACTGTGATTTTAGTCACAAACCATGTGGCTGTTCACAGAAGTTTCAAAACTGTGAAGGTGCACAGAGAATTGCATACATTTTTTTTGTCCTTTTTAATGAAAAAAATAGATTATTTTAATAAGATTTAGCACTGAATCAGAGTTAAGAGCATGACACTTTTCTGTGTAAGGATGTCATTTTTGTCTTGAGAATTGTTCGTCTAAAATATGATTTTCAAATATGTATGTAGGAAGGTTTTTAACATGACACATCAAATTCACGAATGAACACAAAGACTTGATTTTGTAAACATGTTTTGCCTATGCTTTTATACATATTTTGTCCCATCAAATGCTACCACTACACATGATACTGAATAGAAAGAGTCTAAAGTTGTTTTTATAAAGCATATAACCTTTCTCTCTTCTAGTCTCAAAGTTACCTTGAAGCAAGTGTAGCTTATTCCAATTTTGCCAAAGTCTTCAGAGAGCCTGAATACAGTGGCTCTGTTATGTGTCATATATATATATGCCTTTGTACCCTTGTAATTGAGCTTTGTCCTCACAATTTCCAAAAGTTGTTATTTCAGCATGAAACGTGCAATTATGGGTAACTCCCATAGACAGAAAGGAAGCAAGAGACAAGAAAAAGGGCTGAAGGAAAGTGATAGGAATTTACTTATAAACAGGAAAAAGCAGAAGACATCTTCCCAAAAATTTAAGAAGTTTTAAGACAGAAACCTGAAAGCTATGGAGAGTTGAAGATGGAAAAAAAATGTGGAAACAGCAAAAGTCCTAAAGCTGTGAAGGTTTTCACTTGTACTGAATGTGTAAACAGAGGGACACTGGAGAGCCAGATTTCACCTTTGGTTGGTGGCAATTCTTCTTTAGATTAAAACAGAATTAAAAATAGTATCCTGAATTTGTGTCATAGCCCAGCACATTGGAACCGATGTGTTTCCTTGCCTACCATCTGAAACAAGAACTGCAGAATTTTACCTTTTTGAGACTAATGTCCTCCACCTTGACATACGTTCACAAGACAATCGTTTCTCCAGCTTCTTCATTTTTCCCTGATCAGGCAGAACAAAAAATGCTGAAGCACCACCTTTGTAATCCATTTGCACCACAGTGGAAGACAGCTGTTCATCATAGCCATGCTTGAACTGGCCCATTCCAAACATCATTGGGACTTCAACAGCCTTGTTCCCATCCACATAGAATTTGTTCTTCTTAGTGTATTTTGTATCGAAAGGCTTTTCCCATTGAGCTTGAAATATAAGAGACAGAGTTACAGGATATTTTGAGGACATGAAACCATATGACTTATCACCATAGGGCACTTTCATAGATGACAGAAACTGGCACAGGTGGATCAGCTTCAAAGACAAACCAGTTTGCAACAAACACTTGACTTACTGAATACTCAGAATAACTCAATAGCAATACACAGTAGGTAGACTGTGATGTAAAACAATCAGAACTTACAGAAGATTGCAATAGTTTTTATTTAGATGAGAAACCAAGTGTTCTAGTGTGCTCTTTTCCTTCATGACAACAATTTTAAGGAGCCTATAAAGCCCTCTTATGATGCAGCCGTTAAATGAGAGCTCAGAAGAAGAAAGATTATCTCTTTTCTTTATTCCCACACCAAAATAGACTTGTGAAGAGTGATATGAGGGATGAATTCTCCAGAGAAATGAAGGAATTCAGGTTATTTGCAGCGAGGAGGGGTTTATATCTCTCTAATTCATGGCCAATAAATTCATATATAACTTAAGTCTATCAGACTGCTGGGTTAAAAAACAAACCTAACTACCAAGAGAAACCTTTTGAACTGTCATGCTTACAATATTAAATTTTCGAAAACTCCTTGCTAGTCATAGTGAAACAAACTGTCTACACTGAAAATCTGAGAGATTCTTAACCTCAGCAGAAAGGAATATCTAACCCAAATTCTAGCCATCAACCTCATCTGTTTCAGAGGTTGAGCGAATTAAAAAATTAGGAAAACTTGGGGAATGGGGACTGTTTTGTTGGTTTTTAAGAAAGCGATGTTACTCTGTAGTAAATTTTGCTTTCTAGAACAAACCTAACCTTTTATCAAATGTAGTGGGTAAAAGTAGAGCCATAATGCTCAGTAAAATAAGTGCTATCAAGGAAACCATGAAACAAGATGCAACACCTTTTGATTTCAGATTTCTATTTGAACAATGATTAGTAGGCAGCTTGGTACAAATGGAAGAAATATCATCTGCTGTTTTCACCATCTGTGAAATAGACATAAGCAGTACTTATTTGATATTTAGAAAGAGTGAAATTAGATTTGGATAGTGCATGTCTTGGGCTCCAAAAATATAAACTAACAACAAACAATAACCTGGAGATGGGAAAAAATGCATGGTTTATTTTTCTTCATTAACAGTGATGCATTCTATCATCACATGTATAATAGGCAGGACTTCTGCCTTGATATGCTTAAGAAAATAAAAAATAACAAATAACAATGAATCACAGAAACATGAAGGACACAAGATTTGAAACACTCAAACAGCCTTGATCTAGTGCTCAATCCAGTTCAGAAAGAACTTTGCTTGATTAAAAATTGAATAGGATGTTAGGATTTAGCACACAGGTTAGACAGAGATGATATTCCTTAATCCTTTTCTCCAGTTTCAAATGAATTCTTATTTCTTCCCTCTCCTGTCTCTTAGCAGACTACCTTCTAGGGATGAAACCTTTCTCAAATGCTTCACAGTTTTTAAGTTGAAAAAAAAAAAAACCACCCCAAAGTATGATACTTTGTGGTGACCAGGTTGGCTAGGACATGATAAGGGACTGATGTGTATCACAGTGGAATAGCATGCCCACTGGCTGATGGACAGTAATATATTGCCAAATTTTGCCCTTAGGGAAGGACTTCTAAGCTACGCTACACCGCAAAAAAAGGGGTAGGAGAGTCACTAGTACTGTGCAAGGAAGGTTGTAATGCCCAGAGAGTGGACAAGAGCCTAGAAGTATAGACTGGTTGTAGAGGTACTTGAGCTTTAATAATCCTCTCCAGGTTAATTCCAGCCTCCAGATCAAGTAATGTTAGCCTACTGTCAATGTCAAGATAAAAATCATTTTTATACTATTTCTATTATTGTTATTCTTTATTCTATTTTCTTTAAAACTGAAGAGCTAAAACTGAATCTCCCCCATCTTTTGGAGCAGCTGGGAAATCATTTCAGTCATAAAACAAGCTTATCTTTAGAACATGTAAAAGTTATTTGTAATACAAAGTTATCTTTCTTGCTCAGGGAGGTTGTGAATGCTCCATCCCTGGCAGTCTTCAAGGCCAGGTTGGACAAAGCCTTGGGTGGCATGGTTTAGTGTGAGGTGTCCCTGCCCATGGCAGGGGGGTTGGAACTAGATTATCTTAAGGTCCTTTCCAACCCTAACTATTCTACGATTCTATGATTTTAATACAAGGTTTCTCAAGCTTCTGACCTCATTGTGCTACTAAATGTATTGCTCCTTCTTCAAACATGTTTCAGTCAAAGAAAAATCAACAGCTATTTTGCCTGGTTTGAAAGATGTGCCTGATGCTAAATAAAAACCTACTTTGAAAACACTATTTGAGACAAACAGTATGTGTTCAAGGGAATTAAGAAACATCAATCCTCTATATTTCAAACAGTTTCATTTAGCTGTGATCAGATCTTGAGATCTTAATGCAAGGAGCATAAACACATATAAAAAGCAAAACAAAACAAAAATATGGCTGTGAATTACTTTCAGGGGAAGCCTCATACTGGGGAGGACCACAGAAGTATCCAGGATAACAGTTTTTAAAAAAATAGTACCTTTTAAAAGAGTAGCATTTCTGCTACACCATCTCTGTTTCAATTAAAAAGCTTAATGATATTTTTATCAGATAAACTACAGAATATTATTTTTCTGACTACGATTTCTTTGGTTTTATAATACAATAAAATAAGAGAGAGAAGGTTTGAAAGAAGACGTAGTATCTGATTACGTCTGATTGAGCCTTACAGCCTTGTTTCTCCCTAGGCTTCTATCTAATATTGGTGAGTCCATCTCTTCACTGAAAAATAGTAAAAAATCTGAATCAAAAAAAAAAAAAAAAGGTTGAAACTGTGTGCCTCTAGACATACAAGGACAACAGCCATACTACTGATAAGGGCACAGTTAGTAAAAAAGAAAACATGGAAAACATGAGTGTGAAACTAAATCTACTGTTACATATTTAGCTTTGGATAAATGAACATACTAATAGCAAAACTATTGAGGAAACATATTTTCTTTCAAGTAAGATGCTAAGTTTCATTTTAACAGTGTTCTTTTAATTTAATTTAATTCCAAACTAGGCCTAGATATTTTACTTAGTAATGCCTTCTTCAAAGTAAATTTCACTTAATCCTCATCAGGAAAGAAATATGTGTATTGAAATATATAGGAAAATTTGCCTTAAATTTTGCTAAGAATGATCATCACTGTCAAGCAGAATATAATTTCGAAAAGCTTTGTTCATAATTAAGTGTAAAGGAGGACCAAAAGGAAAACAAGATATGAGTCCCTCTGCAAAACAATGTTGTAAAAACACGTGAAGTCCAAGGCTGATCTCAGGAAATATTATATTAAGTAGGAGAGTATGGTATATATATCTTACCGTTAAAATAAATATAGCTAATAAGGAGAATTTCAGTAAGTGGATCGAGGTTATTTATAAGGTCCTTGATTTTCCCATTGGTTCTTGCTGCTACGTATTCATTGATCTTTACCTGGGCTTGATCAGCCCTCTTGAAGTTCATAGGATAAGCTTCTCCTTCATAGAAGTTTCTGAGGTTACTTAAAAATTTATCTTGTGGCTTCAGTCTGTCAAGTACAAACAGGACATTTCCCATATTCAGCTGTAACCCCTCATTCTTTCTGTTTACCATGTTCATGAGTTGGCGATAACCTTCATGTATTTCATTTTCAGAAATCTCACGTGGGTTAAAGCTAAGGACCCTAAGAATCTGTGACAGTGTGTCTGATCTGGCACCCAGAGTCAGCATTGCAAAGGCAGTAGAGATGCTCAAAGGAGAGAAGAAAACATTTCCACTGTTTTGTCGAGAAGAAATCTCTTTGTAGAAACAACATGCAAACTGACAAACACTGTTCCCTACAATGAGCTGTGGCTTATTTCGGTTTTCTTGGCCTCTTTGATTTTGGTTTCTTACACCTTGGTGATTAGGCTCATAACAATAACTGTTGGAATGAATCCAGACAATTAAAAGACATAGGAAAAATAACATCTTCATGTTTCTATGGATCTGTAAAAGAAGAAAACAAAAATGACATTTGGCTAAAAAATCATTTCACCTTGTTCTTAGCATTAAGTCAATCTGTCCATTGTACAGAGCTAGCTCGGTACCCATGATTCCAAGCCATTCGAATTCAGGAATATCAGCTTTCTATTTCAAGGAAGCAGACTCTGGAAAATTACTCAACCTACTGAAGAAGTTATGAAAGAATAAAAATTAAAGTCAAAGAGTGATGAAGTAATACCAAAGACACCCTCATTAAGGTTAGGCGACAATTCCTTTGAAACTGTTCTGTATCCAGTGTTCTGTTTTCAGTATGGCTTTAAGTGATAAAAGCTGTAAGCAAAAAAGTACAGGTCTACAGAGCAGAAAGTAAGGGATCAAGTCAAGACTACTCAGTTATATTTAGGAAGGTGAAAAGTCAAAGCAGAAGAAAGGCACAATATTACTCCTTTGTGAGAAGTAAAATATTATACATTTTTGACTGAGCTGTGTGTAAATGTATAGGCAGGGACCAGAGAGAAAATAAATACATTTGTTAATGAGCAAGTGATGAACTATTTCAGTGCTTAAATAAAGTTTGAACAATTGAGAACCATACAAAAAAAAAAACAAACCCAAACAAACAAACAAAAAAACCACCCAAAAATCAAACAAACTTCCACGTACCTAACAGAAGAGAGAAATATGCTTTGAGCAATTAGGAAGATGTCAAAACCCTGGAAATACAGTGCTGGTCACTAAGGAAGGGAAAATCAGCATTCATGTAGAACAGTGAATGGAAACAAGTATGCCTGTTGCATGTGAAGGCATGTCCAGCTCAGTGACTGAACCAAATATCATAAAAATAATAATAAAAAAAGAGGAAACTTTGGAACAATCATGGTGGTTATCATCAGAAAGCTAGCAAAAAAGTGGTTTTGGCAGAAAAAGCTGCAATGGTAAAAAGATGGATGAGTGAATTCTGGAGGAATAAAGATACTAAAAGACATGGATAGAACAGGAAAACCTTTTCTAGAGCAGCCTGGAAACCATTCATTTCACATCTGTGGCAATACTTTTAACTCTATAAATTAACAATGTACCACACTTGGTCCAACAACTTTTGTCAACAGACAGAAGAAAAAAAGATGTGGAGTATCTGGAAATCCAAAACATCTTCCTGTGGTACATAATCACTTTATCTACAGAATCTTTTATAAAATAAAGTACTCTTTAGAGGAATATGTAAGGATTTTCAAAGGGGAAAAATACTTTAGGTTTCTGACTTGTAGCGAGAAATGGTATTCAGACTCTGCCCTGTAAAATCATTGAATCCTTACCAGCTCCCACCATGACCCCATATTTGTGTTCGCTTTCCAGTGTCTTTGTTCTCTAAAATCCACTGAACTCAGAATGTTGATCTCTGATTTAATAATATATGCTATATACATATATATTATATATATACTATAAATATTCCTTAATTCACACCTCATTAATATTATAGTTATAGCAATACTACAATCTCTTGGGGGGAGCTAAGCCCCATGACAAACCACTTTCAGACAATTCACTTTCATATCTAGAACATATTTAAATTCGACCTCTTTGATTTGCTTGTGATTTGCTCCACCATCACTCTTACTCTACTTCATTTAGCCTTTAACTCTATCCACAGTTTTTTTTCAAACTCCCTAGAAGCTTTAGAGAGCAATCCTGAAGTCCCTACTTCCATTTCATTTCATTTCATTTCATTTCATTTCATTTCATTTCATTTCATTTCTTATCATGCCGTGTATTTATTTTCGTCCATTTACTTCATTTAACTCTAAATCATTCAGAGATGCAGTTTTCCTAAAGAGTTATACTATAAAAACATGCCTATCTTACAGAGGACTTACCTATTTTAAAAAACCCCAAAGCATAACAAAACAATAAAAAAGCTTCAAACTGTAACTTGAATACGAATGTGGTAATTTCTCAACCAATTATTCAAAGCTGTTTTCCTACATATAATGTTTGACAATTTTTCCACAGGAAAAAAAATGCATTACTTACAAAAAGTCAAAAGGGTCCTGTTGTATTCACCAGGTCTGCACAGGTCCTTGCTCAGTTGTTTATGCTGCTGAACACAAAGCAGGGTATCCTCTAGTAAAGGTTAAGATCATCTAAGGGCTGTGACTCACACATTGTAATTTTAGAGATTAGGTAGTGCAAACAATGTTGAAACTAGTTTTACTGGACACCTAACTTTGCTGAATATATGTTTCACACGTGACTTCTTATTATTCATGACTATCTGATTGCCCTGGTTAGATTCAAAGCAACTTTCCTCAAAATGAATCTACTGTTTCTTAATATCAAACATTCATACACAGCTGCCCAAATCTACTATCTTATAAACAAAAGAGTCATCAGAGGTAGTAACTACAAAGAAATACCTTGAACATAATTTCCAGTGACTATAACATTGTTGCCACTAAGGCAGGAGGACAAGGCTTGATGCACTGGGACAATCTGAATTTTTGTGACATAGTCTTCTTGTCTTCTGTATATCCATGCCTGGTCTTGATTATCTCCAGATGAAGCCAGTGATGATTCGAAAAGATGTACGGCTTAAAACACCATTTTGTTAAATTAACAAATGCTGCTGTAAATGTGCCTATCTACTCCCACACAGGGAAGCTGCTGGCAACAAGAGCTGTGATAGCAACTGCTGGGCCACTTGCATGACCCTGTGCCAGGGAAGAAGGAATGTGGCTGGGATGCCATTCCACAAAGGTGATCCCAGTTACAAGCATGGCCTGGGGACAGGGGACAGAAGCCTAAGAGCATGGGTGTTAAATAGAGCAAGTCTTTAGACCAGCTTACTGTCTTGTGACCTGGGACACAGGGAGCAGGCCCCTCTGATCATGTGCCAAGTTCAGCTGGGTCAGATTGGACAGCCTGGTATCCTGTGCTCCACTCATTACAGTAAACTCCTGCAACTCTAGGGGCAAGCTGATGGGCACAGCATGACAGAAACATTGAAGAAGGGAACCCTGGAGACCGTATACACCAACCCCTTGCTCAAAGCAGTGTCAGTTACAGCGAGTTGCTCACAATAGTGTCCAGCTGGGTTTTGACTTCTTCCACAATAGATGGAGACTCCACAATGTGTCGGGGCAACCTGTTTCAGTGTTCGATGACACTTCACTACAATAGGTTTTTTCTCTACATTTAAATGGAATTTCTTGGTTTTTTAATTTGTACTCATTCCCCCTTGTACTGTCACTGGATGTCATTGAGAAGAAGCAATCTCTTTCTTTCCTCCTCCCATCAGAAATCAGATACTTATACACACTGGTAAGATACTCACAGGCCTTTTCTCCTCTGGGCTAACCAGTTCCAGCTCTCTCAGCTTCTTCTCAATATCCTAGCTGTTACAAACCCTCAATCACTTTTATGGCACTTTACTAGAGTCAATCTACTATGCCCCAGTCCTTCTTGCCCTGAAGAGCACAGCACTGGATGCAACCCTTCAGATGCGTAGAGCAGGGATGAGTAGACGGGAAGGATCGCTTGCCTTGACCTGCTGGTGATACTCTTCTTAATGCAGCTCAAGATGTTGGCTGCATATTCTGCAAAAGCTTACTGCTGAGTAACTTGGTAACTTGGTGTTGAGCAGAAATCCCATACCCCCAAGTACAGCATCTCATGTCTCCATTTCTAAAATTAGGATAATTTCTCTCATTTTCTCTTCAAATTGCAAGGATTTTGGGGGAGGGACCAGCCCTTCCTATACACAAACTAGATGGAATGTTGATCTCCATGCTGCGTATAAGCCCAGTTGAAACACTAACCACAACAATAACTCAGCAACATTTTCTGGGAGGCAAAGTTGCAACCAGTGAAAGTTGTTGATGATTACAACCTATCAAGCGACTCAATAGATTGAAAGAAAACTCTCTTAAACAAGTTGCTTATGAACTAAAGCGTGAGAAATAGAAGGCTTTGAGGCAGTATGCTGGACTCACACATGGTATGCTCTTCACACATGGCTTCACCTGAAAGAGTATTTGAGATACTATTTTCACTGTTTCTTCTATACGAGCCAAGAATCTCTCTTAGAGCTAACTTTAAATAATGGGCTGCAGTTTTCATGGTACATAAAAACTGATTTCTGATGAAGGAAGGAAGAAAGCCCAATTAAATACAGACGCCATACTAATGAGAAGGTGATGGATGAATGACTAAGCTAGACTTGAACACACCTAGACCACACCTCGGGACACTTGCAGGAGAAAGCCTGCTACTGAACATGCAAAAGCCTGCCCTGCAATTGGAAAGAAAGCAGAGAAAATCAATACAGGATCAATTTATATTAATAATGTAAAACTCTGGACAGCAGTATCACAGCAAGTCCAAACTGGTTTTTCATGTGTTGCCAGCGTCAAGCTGCAAGAGGAAGGTATAGAAAAAGGTAACAGCTCCTGACCCAACTGTTTAATTTCTGTATGTGATGAAAAAGTTTCAATAACTATAAACAATCTATAACTATAAGCAGAATACTGATTTACAAAGATTTCAGCCATTGTGTTTAGGTTTGAAGACTGGGATATTTCAGAGTAATATTGAATGTGTTGAAGATATGACATGGATAGTGAACAGGAAATTCCCTCACATACACTGGGGACTTTTCTAAAACAGAGAAAGCTTGTAACAGAGCTGGCACTGAATTGTTTGTATGTGCTTAATCCCCAGCTCGCAAAATTCAGTGTAAATCCATCTGCTTTAAGCAAAGAGGTTCAAAAAGGTTTGTTTATGAAAGGTTCCTCTTTCTGCTATATCCAGTAACCACTGGTGGCACGAGCAGGGAATTCTACTGCATAAACAAGGCCCCAGAGCCTCTCCTTAGCCTGTGCTAAACCACAGATACCAGGTGTGTATATACCTTCAAAGAGATGGAAGAAACTCTTAATTTGTTGTCCCATTGAAACTAAAGCACTTCCTCATAACTATAATTAAAAAGGGAGGCAACAGGAACTGGAAAACGAATTTATATTAAGTTGTACTTTTCAGGAGCTGGCAGTACTTTCTCCAGAAAGTATAATATGGGAGACTGTTCAGCCTACGTAACCTGTGAAGTGTGATCCATCTGATTTAGGACATCTATTTCCCTGCAGAAACACAAATACAGCCTTTCATAAATGATTCAAATCCTGACGGATTTCTCAAAAACTATGGCTCAGTAGGTAGGGTGCTGTTAGAAATGATCTACAGAGACAGAAAGCACCCCAAGGCAGCTCTGTTTAGTTATGGGACTTTTCACAATCCCTTTAGTCCCAGGATTTCCTACCAGTAAATCCATTTTGCTATATAAAAAACAGGTTGAAGAATTCAGCAAACTATCAATGACTGAGATAGCTTGGAGTGGACTGGCACCTCCAGAAAACATACAGCTATGTTCTTTATGGTTCTGAAACTATCTGAAGCATTTCTCCACCTGGGAACATCACCCTGACAGCCTCTTTTGTGATTGAATCTCACTGGCATGCAGTGTTTGAGGCAAATAGAATAAATTTGCCTGTATTAATCTCTCTTAAAAATATTATAGGGAAACAAAAAAAACAAGTGATTGACAAACAAACACCACCACCCCCACCCCCCAAAGGCTGAACTATTCTCTTCCTTCAATGTCTCATTTTTATTTCCAAAGATCTTTCTCAGTCTCTCAATCCTTTCTCATCACTCAATGGAAAAGACAGCAGCCCACACATTTATGTCCCTAAGCATCCCTATCCATGATTCCCTTAACTTTCAGTCTTCTTCTCCTGAACCCCCAGATTTAAATTCACACTTTTCCTGCATTCACTCTTGAAGGACCTGTGCTAGTCACAAGCAAATAAACACACCTTACGTTTTCACATTTCCCAGATGATACACTTTGTGATGCTTTACCTATCGCTGAAAATGTATGGCTGTAGGTAAAGACAAGCAACTGTTTTGTTTACAAAGTTTTTCTTGAATTAGGTCACTATTCTCAAATCAAGCAGTGTTTTGTCAGAATGAGAACACCTTTCAGGAAAAGGGCAGAAGTGGCTATGGCTTGGCAGCTCTTCTCTCTCCTGCCCAGCTCCCCACCATTTTTATCCCAGAGAGGAGGTAGGGAAGTACTCCAGCAGGTTTACTCTCATGGCTTCTTCTCAAAGCCAGGGAATTGTATTTCCCATGAAGTTAGCTCCTTTCCTCCTCAGCACATACTTCAGTTAAACACGTCTTTCCTGCTACAAAAGAAAACTCCTTTTTCTCTTCCCAAGCAGTCTGTGAATCACTGTCTCACACTTCCTATGTTTTGCAGTTTTAACAGATTGCCTGTGCAAATTTTCTTTGATCTGCTTTTGGTGAAATTTTACAGCTTTTAAGTTTCTGTCTGCTGAGAAAATCCACGTAAGACCATTTTCCTCTTAGTTTCAACAATCACATTGTCCTAAAACACTAACACCTTGATAGCAGAAACCGAAGTTAGTGGCTTTCTACTGTTGGTCTTTACTACCAGCTCTTGACATTTCAAATAATAGAGGAGGCAAAAACACTGCAGAAAAGAAAATCCCCCCTATATTCAAATTGAGATTCACAGCTGAGCACAAAAGAAAATTCTCAATATTAAATTAATAAACCACACAGGGACAACCATCCCAAGAATATCTTGATTTCTTTTTCTTCCTTTCTTTCTCAAGGTTTGACTTCCCTTCTCAATGGCTTTCTCAAAATAAGCAAAACTGAAGAATTTCGTGTCCTGCACAGATAGCCAGACTAGCAGCAATCCTGAACTAGAGTACCCTTCCATCACAGTAAAAACATGCCAGACACTAGCACATTTTTCATCAATAAATCCCAAGGTGCTTCATATCATGAAAGAAATATTAACAGCCATTTTGTTGAAAACATGCAGACAACAGCTTACTCTGTCAGCACAAACAACAGAAACTAGGCAAAAGGATGACAGTCATCATGAGATCTTTTTTTTGGTTTTGGACAAGATCAAGTTCTTATGCATTTGGTTAAATGCTGACTTATCTGAATACAGTAGAGTACCAATTATCTAAATACTCTGGAAACAGATGAAAGAATTTAGGTAACAACTATGGCTCATTCAGTGTATTTGAAGTTGTTTGATTCATGATAACTTCTCATGGGTACGGGGAGAAACAAGACAGTCTAAACTAACCTTCAGCATAATACTTCCTCAAACTACTTCTGTTAGATGTGTAGTGAGACAGCAGAGATTATGACCAGAGAAGGGCAAGTAAGAAGCTGTGTCTCAGAAAGGAGGAAGCACTGTTCTCCATGTAGAACTGAAACATGGAGAGGAGACTTTTCACTGTGGGATTAGAGGAGAAATAAAACTAAGAAAAGAGCTGTGATAAAGTATGGCTGAAAAGCAAACTTTTCCATTTTTGGAGCCAGCCCTAGAGATTGCTATACTCTGCAAGTTACTTGGTGGTCCCAGAACTGAAAGCAAGAGAACTGAGGCAGTGACATAATGCTGAAACTATGCATGCCTCTAGACGTCATGATGGTTATGCTGATATGGCTGTGTTAATATTTAAATGTGAAAATTGAATTCTGCACAGCATGTTGCTTGCCATATATTCACACCAGCTAATTTAGAACAAACCTAGATGTCAAGCATGACATCATACTGCACAAATTGAACACAAATGACAACTCTCTTATCCAAAAAATACTTCTGAATGGCGTTCAACACATAAAAGCTCAGAGACAGACTGCTGAATGAACTAAGAATTAGCCCTAGGTAGCAGTTCCAACATTTTTCTAAGGGAAGTTGTGCGGTCCAGAATTAATCTCGTAGACAGTATCTTGCATGCTCTCAGATACACATGAGAACCCAGAGTACTAACAGAATGGGAATTCCAGTCAGAAAGACACACCTTGTATTGGAGTGCCACACTGATGACTCCATGTCTTCACTGCTTCTGACACCTGACCTATGTCATTTAGGGCTTCCTTAGATATCTCTGCAGATCCTTTGCACAGGGTAGACCTACTCTGGGAAGTATGCAAATCTGGCAAGACTAGCTCATGATGCCTCCTGTGACAACCAGACCAAGGTAATACAGATCATACAATATGAAAAAATGGAACAAAAGTTTAATTGACCATACAACTTTGAGAGAATTTACAAGCCACAGCAGTAACATTGCATAATAAAGTCCTTGCCCTTTCTGACTACCAATCTGAAGGAATTTTTCATAAAAACACCAGAAAACATCACACCAGGAGATGAATTACTGATAATTAGAAAACAGAGAGGTCATTGCTCATAGTAAATTGGACGCTGGTATGCAGACCCATGTGATAATTAAAGTTCTGTAATTACAAAAAATATCTTAGGGTAGCGGAAATCACACAAGTGAAATTCGAAGTTTGTAGCATCAACCTGATGCACACTGAGGAAATGTGTGAATTACAGGTATAGATAAATGGAGGGAGGAAAAGTGTACTCCTTCCTGAAAGCAGGCTCTGTAAAAGTGTATTACATGTTTGCTTTCAGGTCTCAAGGCAATGAAAGGCAAATGAAACAAAACTCAGAAAAAACTTGAGCACATGTCCTTGAGCAAAGCACTCCCTGGAATGCAGATAAGATGTGAGAGGTGACCTCTCAATGGGACATATTTCAGACTTAAACAAACATACTTCTTAAAAGGGCATACTTCAGACTTCAGCAAGAAACAACTTCTTCCCTTCTGGGAAGCTGCAGGTAAAGCTGGTTATTTCACACTGGTTAGAAAAATAATTTGTACTTTTTTCAAAGGATTATTTTCACTCCTGAGCAATAGCCTTAGGATGAAATATTACAGCTGCACATCTGGTTGTTCTAGTAATCCATTGCACCAACTCTTTGTTCAGGAGATAACACTGTTTCCAGCTATGTTATTACAATCATTTGCAATTGTATTCAGGAGCTAAACTCCGTTATCTCAACTCCGACAGGCTGAAAAGTTAAATTCTGATCTGAGCTTTGCACTGTTTAGCAACAAGAAAACAAATGAGCAAAATGGGATTTGTCAAGAGCAGATACTTAATTTAGCAGAAAATGAACATTCTGAATGCATTTAATAATGTCTTTAAACTACAACCAAGGGAACTGTAGGTCTGCAAAACTCCAAAGGAATTAAATTGTTTATGTGGGATGCTGGATGTGCCATCACTTCATGATCATGATGAAAATCATACTTATAAAAGAAATTAATAATCATAATGAGCGCATGTTCAGTGGTCTATGGATGTCATCATCCAAGGACAGACATATATGCTGAAGATTAAACAATACCTCCAAATTCTCAAAGGCAGACAAAGGACATAGGATTTGCTGTCCTTCCTGAAAAGGCTTCTGTTAGGCAAGCCTGACAATAGCCCAGAGAAAATGAGCTCTAGGACAATAAGCAATGGGAACAAACATGAATGGTACTGGAAGAGTGAACTACTTGTCTAGAAGGCAAAGGACTTCAGGGATATACTGAACTTGGTCAGTCAAGGTAACCAATAATCTGTTTCTGGGTGGCTGGAACTGTTTGCAATGTCATTGTATGGCTAATATGTCTGGTGGGAAGAAAAGGTCTAGTGATGAAAATCGTACCTGTAATGGTTTAATTCAGTGGACACAGAAAATGTGGGATGTATCACTGAAGAAGCAGTGTGAGTTGCACCTGTGGCACTAAATGAAAAGGGAATTGTAATTGCCATGTAACATGCACCAGATGAAGTATGGCCCAAATGATTCAGCTCAGTTGTTCCACAGATACTTTTTTTTTGGCAGCAATCTATGAAAATCTTCAAAAGCTAAATATGCCTTTATACCTGTTTGGAAGCAGAGAGATTATAACTGCATTGACAGTGGGCATGGGAAAGCTGGTTGACTTGGGATGTTCTGTAGACAAATGATGGCAGATCAGTATCCTTAACTCTGGGCATATCCATTGCTCCACAAACAGCATGCGCCTTTTTAGATCCTGCATGCATAGGCACCACCTCAGTATGCTGGACATCTTTCTCTGTCACCTCCTCTATCTGCCAAGCATGTGCCTGGGTAGCCCAGCAAGAAATCTCTCTGATGGAGTGGCAGGTGGGACAAACTTTCTCTCTCTTCACAGAAAAGATAAACACATGTGGATACCAGTAATGTGAATTTGTTAGGAAAATTCCAAAGTATCACAACAGGAATATTCTAGAGAAAAAAAACAAAAAGAAAATCAAGTAACTTTGTTTTCCTCAGGCCATTACAAGGCCAAACCTTCCCTTTTGCCTCTTCAATCAATGTACAAGAATGTATGTATTGTAGATCTATGTATGTATCTATTTTTAAAGTTGCTTAATAATGGGCTGTGGCATGAAAGGAAAGAAAAAAGCAACAGGTGCTCACGAGCTGTTAAGTGAAGAGACACGGTGACAGTTGCTAAAGCAGGAGGAGTTTTAGCAACTGTAGGACAGAAAAAATATAAAGGAACTCACATTTTGGATTCATCTGGTGTTGGCTACTGCTTCCTGAGGAGGGCCTCACTCAAGAAAGCTAAATGACAGCAGGAGCCCTCCTCCCCGATTTCAGCAGGGTCTGGATCAGGTCGGTGCTGCAGCACCTGCTGTGCTCCACCAGGTTTCCCGACTGACTGCAGGGCAATCTGCAGGCTCATAAACAGCTCATGCGATGGCAACATGATGTCAAGACTTTACATTTTGCCTCAGCAGTTCACAGCCTGGTGCAATCTCAAAACATAATCTCTGAACTCCTGCAAGATTGCAGCAGCCTACTTTTGCCTAATCCAAACCCAACTGAAGTCAGCAGAGAAAATGCCAACTGCTGATGTTTCTTCAAGGCTTTTCAAGGGAATCAATTTTCAGTCTCTTAGAGTTTCATTCATATATATAACAAGCTTTACTTACCATTTTGCCCACTGCAATAGTTTCATAAACCTATAGGAATTAAACCAGGTTACTGCAAGACAAGAAAGGTAGGAGTTTGTAGGTGGCAGATACTCTCTGAGCAGACCCTCTATGTATGCTGAAATCCTGCAGTAAAAAGGGCACTAATTTACTTTTCTTTCATGTAGGATCAGGTTACCTTTCATTTACTGGAATGTAACAGTGGTCACTCAAGCAAATATGTATAGGGCAGTGTCCAACAAGGCGGCTCCTTGTACTCCAGTGCAAACAATACAGCACAGAAAAAAAGTAGGCAGCATGTCCTGCTTTTGTGAGATCAGTTCCAGGATACTGGCTTAGTTTTTACAGACTCCTTGAGAAAATGGGCTGTATATTACACATAAAATGGTATGGCTGTGTTATTTTTTTTCTCATCGAGTCATGATTGATTTCTACTACTAAATAACTCTAAGACCTAAAAGACACATTTTGTTCTTCAGTCCTGCCGGTTTTAAGGTACTTATCCAATGGGTTTGGAAGCTTAATGGGATTCCCTTCATAGCTCTTCTAAAAATACCATTCCAAATTTTGCACTTTTCTAAAAGAAAATCTGTGCTTGCCAAAGTACACGTTCTCCAAATAGAGCAACCACTGTCAGCAGTCTCTGCAGTTTGGCTCAACATGATAAACATTGACAGGAAGCATAAGGTAATATTTTCAGAAATGCCATAACGTTTACAGAGCCTATGTCCCATTTTCAAAAGTGAATGAAGTTCTAAGAAGTCAGATTTTCAAAGGTGTTTAGTATACAAAGAAATCTGAGTTTTCCTCAGTTTATATACAGGCTTGTAAACAACTTGAGCCCTTTAGAAGCAAAGGGATGATTTTATCCCTTATTTTTATCTACAAAAGTATTTTCAAAAATCCATTCCTTGAAAACTGCAGTTCCACTGCTTTAAAGAATTGGATTCTCAAATATTAGAATATTTTACTAGCTTTTGTTGCATTTTTCAGAAGTAAAGGAGAACAAATAAATAAAAAGGGAAAGGAAATATGCAATTACAAACACAGTTCTAGTAATTGCAGATTCACAATTCATAGGGTTTAACAACTAAGCCATAGATACAGATATTTCAGTGCTAACAGCAGTAAGTATGGATTTAGTTGGATTTTATTTACTATGTTATACAGTTTCTGCTCCCTTGCTTGATGAAGCAAACTACAAGGGGCAAGTAATATTAACACGTTCTAAGTGAAAACTAAATCGAACCACTGAAAACATGAGTCACAGCAAGTTAGAGTGCATAACGGAGAGATAAGGAAAAAGTTAGAAGGAGTGAAGACAAAAAAGAATATAAGGGACTTTTGAAAATGAAGTTAAATATGTTAGCCACACTTCATAGATTCAGCTTTATATCTATACAAAAGAAAACAGAACTGTTCCTAGTCCTTGTATTTTCTTTAAAATATTCTAAGGCAGAACTTTGTAACAGGAGATAAAAATAGAAGATCACCCTCTGTTTTAGAGGCTGAAGTCCCTTCAAATCTCTCACGAGTGAATAAAGTATAATAGTAAATGCTTTCTTTGTCTTCTAGCAATAACTGAATAAATCAATGTCTCTAACTTATGTGTAGAAAAACATTTCAGTAAAAAGTAAACATAAAATACTATTTGGCTAAAATATCTTCCAAAAATAATCCTGGTGAACATTTCAGCCCACAAATTAGTTTCACAATAACAAATGCACTATATTACACACAAATACAATACACTTTGCCTCTTATTAAGATGATACTGAGTTTGGGGTTGCAATTAATACTCTTCTAAACTCCCTGTTTGTGAACAGCCTTCTGCTATGGTAAGTATATACCACACAAACAAGTTGCTAAGATATAACATAGATTGTGAAATTACAGTACATTAGCAGCAACTGCTGGGATGCCCATGTAATCTTACTGTAGTTTGCACCTCAGTGGATGGGTGGCAAAGACCTTACATGTATCATAAAGAGAAGCCATTGGGTGGAGTAGGTAATATACTGTAAATCCACATCCCAACTTGCCTCATAGTAATTTGTCCAAGAAGGTATCCCTCGGGTTACCTGGAGATGGATATTCATTCACTCTTCAAGGAAAACAAGGAAACTGTACCTGATGAAAGACAAAATGAAGTGTTTATATAAAGTAGGAAATACTTCACTGTTGCAGATATCTGAAAAGCTGCAAGCCATATGTGCAAATTTAGCTCTAAGCAGAGTTATTTGAAACAATGTGTAATATTCTTTTACAATTAAAAACTGATTTTAAATTCTTCTAATAGAAATCTATCTTCTGATTTTCAAAAATAAATATTCAATTTTGAAACCTTTATGAACTCAGAAGTCTCTAGCATGAAAAAGACCTCAGATGTTCAAGGTCCATGGTGCTGACCCTTCCAAAAATGAAACAGTTATACCCTGAATGATCTAGCACTACCATCTGTAGTAAATCCGGTTTATAATTCTGGAACTCTGCTAACCAGACAAACTAAATAATTTTTAATTTTTTTTATGACTCATATAAATATTTTATCACATGAATGAGCCAAAACCAAAACATGGAGAGGGCATTTTTATTTGTTAAGGATTTGGAGTTTTGGGTTTGGTTTTTTCATTAAACTTCTTGATTGTAAAAAAGGCCCTATTTTTCAAGCATATTTGTATTTGCAAGTGCAGCATTACAAAATTAACAGTTGTGCACAAAATGAATATGCGTGTCAGCAGAGATGTTTATTTATCTGTGTAATACACTCACTTCGAACTCGAAATTATACGCAGCCATATTTTGTTGATAACCACAGCTCAAGTTTTATTCAGTTGATGGTTAGTTTTAAAAGCAGATCAAAATTAAAGATCAAGAGTCCTGTGGCGAGTCTTTGACAGTGTGTAGTTCCTATTTAGATGTTTTTTACCCTTGAGAGAGAAACTACCTTAGCTGAATAAGACTTGCAGGAGTCATCCTAAATTTTAAAGGATATTTTCAGCTAGAAAAGGGAGTAGAAACACAGGAAGAAACAGGTTGCATAGAAAAGTTGTGGCTGCCTCATCTCTGGAAGTGTTCAAGGCCAGGTGCATGGGGCTTTGAGCAATCTAGTCTAGAGGAATATGTCCCTGACCATGGCAGGGAGGTGGACCTAGATGATAATTAAGGTCCCTTCCAACCCAAATCATTCTATGATTCTATGATGTGTTACTATTTTTCACATACTCTTCTTACTCAATATATATCTCAGATTAAAGACATACCCTGTACAGTGTTATACCAATTAGTAGCTAACAGGAGGAGGAAGTCCAGGGTTTAAAAAAAAAACAAAAACAAGGGGAGCAGAGAGAGATTATCAGAAAAGTAAAAGACTGTTTATTTGAATGCCTGAATCTTCCAGCCCACAGAGTCTTAAACTGGCTGACTAACTGCACCACTGCCTTCACTTGCTAACTTAACTTTTTTTTCATGCAGATTAGTTTTGTATGTTCCCAAGAACTCTCTTTTAGATGGAATTTTGTGGCTTGAAAAGCAAACAGATGTCTGGTTATTCAGGAAAATTCGTGATGCAACAATGTTGAACACAATAACCACTTTGAACTACATGGAGATCTCTAGTATGGAAGGCCAAGGAGAACAAAATCTGCCATGACCTCAACAAAGCTACAATCATTTGCTTTGTACCAATATAAGGGCATAAAACAACAAGCACAGAGCCAAGCTCAAGCTTAACAGTTAGACAGGCAATCCCTACACATAGATGAAGGACTCCGCTCTAACTCCCTCCTGATACAGGACTGGCAGACACACCCACATCAATGACTGGAGAGAGATTTACTTAAGTGAGGCATGCGGGTCCAGTACAGCAGGATAGGATACAACAGCACAGCATACATCCTGCCAGACAATACTCCATAGCTATTTGAAGAAGTTCCTATTAACCTCTTGCCTCATCCTCAGTACCACCCTGAAGGAAGGAATGTGTTTATGGCACAAGTTAACAGGCCGGCCTACACCCTTGTCATGGAAGAAGGCACAGCCCAAGGAACGCGAAAAGAGGTCAACCACAAGATAAAACCAGCAACAGAAACAAACTGTAGAAATACATGCCAATGCCAACTTCAAAGGAGATAAAGCAACATAAAGCACAAACAACATCAGGCCCAAAGACATCATCTGTTCCAGCAAATTCCCATAATGGTAACAGCAGAAGCATGCTACATGCTCCCTAACACGGGAACACAGGACTATATGGTTCTCACAAGTGATTAACTCTAGACCAATAGGACACTAGTGGAGACCAAGGTACAGTTGGAGAGACAGGGGTGCTACTCTGAAAGCACAGAAAGCAAGACTGATCAGGTCAGTTCATAACAAACAAACAGCTGAGGAAGCAGTACTCCCTCTTCCCATACACTCCAGTCTCCACCTGCTTTATAGCACGGTCTTTCCTGTTCTCTATCATATACTTCCTCATCACTTCCCTTTTACCACACACAACTTCTCACTCTCCCTGAGATTATTCCCTCATGTGAGTTTGCTTTGATCACTCCCATTATAAAAATATCCCACCCTGAGCCAACTTGTTTCATCAGTATCACTCCATTTATCAGTCCATCTTCTTTTCATTCTGAAGCTCTTTGAACACAACCTTTATAATTTCTATCTGGGGCTTCTCTCCTTGTGTGGTTCCTTTCTTTTGCAACTGAAGCTCTTTTTTACCAAAATATATAATAATTCTTCTGTAGCCAAGAGGTACATCAGTAACCTGTGATTTATGAGAAGGGAGAAGGGGAATCTGTGTAAAATTTATACATTCTAGTTGATTTTATGCAGTTGTTATAAAACTCTTCAATCATGGAAGGCCTCATTACACTGGGAATCCACCATTTGTTTACAAAGGCTGCAATACATTCCTCCCAGACAAAGCACAATAATGGGTTGGTATGACTTTAATGATAACCTATTCAGAGAGCTCTGGCACAATTAGCTGGATGAAGTCTAAAGAAATTAGCTGAATAACTACTCCGTGTAAAGCGCGGAGCAGAACAAAGGAAACCAGGCCTTCAAGGAAGGAAATCAGATTCGGAGGCTGGATAGAGTGACATTAATAACAAACAGGAAACCTGGGTAACAAACAGGAGTGATGGGTTCTGCATAGCTGAAGGAACTTAGGCCTAAATTAATCCAAACTAAGTAAAATGTGAGGGACAAGGCATCCAAAATCCTGAGGGCAAAAGACGGTCTTGTTCTCTTTGGACTTCTGTGATTTCATCTAGTTCTCTCCTGACTTCCTTAAGTATTCCTTCAATATGTCCCTCAAAGATAACATCCTGCAAAAAGCCAAGGTGAACATAGACTTTTGGGCTACTCGCTGAACTGATAGCAAGTCACTAACACTTGGTCTTTGGCTAAAAAAATCTTTGAGGAATCGATTAGATAATCAGTGCATCACACTCAGTTTTGGGTCTTCAGTCAAACTTGTGCAATGCAGGTCATCCCCACAGTTCATCAATCTGTCCCAAATGCATATACCTTTAAAATTCTGCTGTGACTTAAGGATACTGTTTTCCAGACTCTAAGGGGTTGTACATGTATTTGCATTTAGTAGCACTCAAAGGCACAAGATAAACAAAACAGAATTGGTTTACTGATCTCATGTTTTGTTTAATAGGAAAACCTCAGATATTACAAATCCTAATAAAAACTTCAGAAATATGATGCCTCTTCTGCTAATTCTTGCTTTCTTTGGGAAACCAAGAGAGCCCATCTGTGCTAAATAAAGCTGAGGAAAAGGAAAAAAAAAAACTGGCAAAGAAAGCAAATGGCGTCTTTTTTCTTCATATTAACCTTGAATTTGCTTTCTTTTAAGAAGGTGTGACTGACAGTTTGCAAGGTCAAAGGCAACACACTATGTTCTAACTATGATTATCACTGATTCTTTA